ACAAGAAGTTAAGAAAAGTTTATATATCGATCGATAAATATTATACTAATTGCTAGTAGGCTGTTCAATACAAAAGTGTCTTTGAATCAGATGCGATAGTAATGCATTTATTTGCAACTATTGATTAACTAGAACCAGGGTTGACACATTTATCCATTGGTGTGAATGGAGAACATCTCCATTGATATTGCTCCATCGCTCCATTGAGAATAATTTCTGAATGGAGCCAATGGAAGTCAACAACTCCATCGACATTGCTCAAATTATCAATATATGGAGTTAGAACTATTCTCTATCAGCTTTTTTCTATTGGTTTCATTAGGTTCTCCATTCGCTCCATTGGTAATTTTCTCAATAGAGTATCCATTGCCAACCCTGACTAGAACGTAACAAGTTAGTATTTAAGAATATGAGTTTTCTTTAAAGTAATTTTTGTTCTTCTGCTAACTCGCCTTTGTTTTTTTTATTTTGATCTTACCCAGGACTATTAAATATAAGCTGATTTCATGCTTGTACATATACAGCCTAGAGTTTTTTCATGAACTTAATATAGTAATCAGAAATTGTTTTGAAATTGTTTTCGATTAGGTCTATGTCGTTCCCCTGACAGTCGGTGATTGTTCTAGTAAGAATTTATTTACTATTAGGTATCGTTTCTTTGACAATTATCTACCTTGATTGATTTTTCTGACAAGAATTTAATTTACTATTAGATATATCGTTTCTTTGACAATTATTTATCTTGACATAGTAGTCAGTGATTGTTCTGTCAAGAATTTAAACCTATATCGTTTCTCTGACAATTATCTAGCACCCAACATCATTGAGAAAACAATTGTCAAGTAAATGTATTATTACATGCTCATTAGCAATATCGTAATTATTAGATTGAACAGTAAAACTAATAGAATGTAAATAGAAAAGACAAAAGAATGTTTTTTGTAATTTTTTTTTATTTAAATATAACATGTTTTGTAATCAAATAAATAAAAAATCAATTATATAAATTCAATAATTATTAAATATATACGAAACTTTTAAAAAAATAGGTCGATTAA